GTTTTTCACGATTTATTTAGAACCCCTTTGTTCAAAGCTTCTTCATAACGAATCCATACGAGGTTTTAAATTAGAGTCATCCGAAGTTAAAATCCTTTCTTACGTGGACGATATAGCAGTTTTTTTGTACTGACCATGACAGTTTGCGTGAAGTTGTCAGAGTCGCGGCTGCCTTTTGCAGGCAAACTGGTATAGTGTAATAAACTGGGGCAAATGTGCAGGGTTCTGGCACGGTAACTGGGCCACTGCGCCTGGGATCTTTTTGAGCGTCCAGTGGACAGCCTTGCCGGCGAAGTATCTCGGTGTGCCCCTCGAACACTACCGAGACACTACTCAAGTGTGGAATGAAAAGACTGATAGGGCGAGGGCAAAAGCGGAGGGTTGGAGGGGTCGCGATTTATCTATGTTTGCGCGCGCCGCTGTCTGTAACTTATTTTTGATCGCGAAAATTTGGTATATATTACAAGCGTTGCCTATGTCGCACCTTAACGTGCAGAAACTGCACAGAGTTTTTCCAGTTTTTATTTGGAGTTCGTGCTGGGTGCGCTCTTCCCGTACAAATTTGTTTCGCTCTGTTCGTAGTGGAGGTCTGAGGCTGTCCCACTAGTTCATCCGTCAGATTGTTTCAAGGTTCATGTTTTTGCGCGATCAGAATGTTTCATTTCTGCGTGCAGTTCTGCAGGTCCTTTTGCAAAATTCTCTGCCAGAGTTTCTTGTGTCGTCTAGTGACCCAATATGTGCTAACGTTCAAGGGTTCATGCGAGAAGTCGTACTTTCCTTTCGTATGCTCAAGGTTCGCTTTTCCTTGGAGTATCTAAGTTCAGTAAATCGCAAGCGGCTGTATAAAGACCTCGTGGACGTTCTTTTACCAGTACCTTTATATAGGTCACTGTACTGTGACGGACCAGGGCAGGACGTCTTATAGAGGGTAAAGAAGGTGCCGGTGAAGCCTTCTTTTAAATTATTTTTCTTTAAACTGCACTGCGGCACGCTGCCTGTAAAGCCATGGCTTGAAGAGAGACGTCTGTTTGGTCCCATGGTCGATAAATTGTCTACTATGTAAAAAGCCCGAAACAATAGAACACATATTTCTCGTCCATCGTCGCCATTCAGGAAAAGAGAGACCGTATGGTGCTTACTTCGGATGAACAGTCCGGCTCTTCTGCCGCGACGCGACACTGGCACCAGTCCCTCGCGGTCATTGGATCCGAGCCCCTCACGAGCTCTGGCGTGCGCCTCACGGCGGAGGCTTGGCGGCCGTCCTGTCGTCTACCGGAGCGTTCGGTTTGACGAGTGCACATCGCCTCCACAAGGGCACCGCCTTGGGGGGCGGCTCCATGCACCCGTTTCAGCTCGTCGCTGTCCGCGTCGCCTTCGTCTCGGGTCCTCTTCGCTGCCACGCTGCCAGCCGGAGCGTCGGCCGTGGCCACGTCGTCAGCAGTCTTCTTGATGACGCAGTTGTCGTCGTCGACTTCCGCCCCGGTTGGTGCGGGTGCTGCCGCCTCCGACTCCTCCTGGCGCGCCCCTTGCTTCATCGCGGCAGCAGGTGCCTCCGAGCCCATGACGCCCGAGCTGGCTCCTCCTTCTGAAGCCGATGGGGCGTTCGCCCCCGGGTTCGTGTTGACCGTGGAGCCGGTGACTGCATCCTCGGCCTCTCCCTCGTTCATCAGGAGCTCGGATCGTTCCAAGCTCCCCACTGGAGCAGCGGCTGCCGCGTAGGTGCGGACGCACTGAGTCGCCTCGTGACCGAAGCGGCGCCAGAGGTTGCACCTCGGGGCGCGACACTCCTTCCGGATGTGCCCGGTCTGCTGGCACCGGAGGCACAACGGGACCCTGCCAGGGACGACGACGAGCGCGAGCTCGCCACCCACCCGCAGCCTGGTGCGGGATGTCTTCGCAGGTTACTCCCGCCTTCAGCCGTAGTACCGCCATCCGCATCATGGTACTATCAACGCTCTGACAGCCGTCCACGCGCCACCGCTCCCTCGCGAACCCGGCCGTAGGGCGTCAGGGTCTCCCTCACGTCGTCGTCGGCCACGTTGAAGAGGAGCCAGTGGAGTTTTACCCTTACGTCTTGGTGGGAGGGTTCGACTACAACGCATTGGCGACCCTTAGCGATGAGCTCGGTTGTCTCCAGCATCTTCTCTTTTCTTTCCGGTGACTTGAAGGTTACCGCCCATACGTGATTCATTTGGTACGCCCCCATGGCCGAAACCTCGAGGAGCGTACCGTGACGATGCAGCGCGTCCCGGAAATCTTCAACGCGATACGGTCGACCTTTCATATCGGCGTATAAGAAAACTGTATTTAAAACAACATACCCGGTGGGCAGGGGAGGCAGCATGAACTGATAATCTTGGGCCTCTTCGAACCTCATACCGCGGCCGGCGTGGGCCGCTGGAACCGCTCCGTCGGAGCACATGATCACACGTCCGCACTGTGCGGCAGCCGGAAGTGGAATCCATTCGGCCACGCGCTCGCTGGGCAACGCGCGTGGCAATATCTCTGATAGATGTTACAAAACATTTCTGGGACAACAAGAAAAGTCGCTTTAGCTATTGGGGAGGAGTGAAGACACTTGTCCAAATAGCTTCAGATGATTTATTCCTTCCCGTCGTGTCGAGATACAACCTTCCGTCACCACGCCCGGATCCAACCTACCCAAACACGCTTTTTCCCGCTCCTTATCAGCCTGTCCCATCCGCTATCAACCTCACCCTCGTGACCACTTGAGCTCGCTTCTGATAACCACTGATAGCACACCTACCAGTCATGCACACCTAAGCGTGGCATGACATGTCTATCCTTCATCTGAAACCCTTTTTTTTTTTTTTTTCTTTACACCTTATAATCACAAAGGCCTACATACCCTGCATGAACACAAATTACAATACATAGTAGAAGGCACCCGAATGACGAGGAAAATAAACAATAGTTACAAAAACAAAATTACTTTACACTTTTTTTTTCCACAAATACATTACATATCGTAGCAGAGACCCGAATGCCGGGAAAAATGAACGACAGTTACAAAAACCGCGTCACTTTGCACTTTTTTTTTTTTCAGCAAGGCGCATTGAGTGACGATAGAGGTGTGGACTGGTTAACCCGACTGTTTCGTCTCGCTACACCCCCAATTTGCTCAGGCCCGACCCAGTCGAGATAGGGCGTCTGCCGGCACATTTTTGGTCCCCTTCACATGTTCTATCTGTAAATTATACTTTTGCAGGGACAATGCCCAGCGTGTTAATCGTGCGCTGTTTGGCGACGACGTTCCTACGTACCGCAATGGATTGTGATAAGAGCGAACCAAAATTTCCGATCCGAACAACCAAGTTTCCAACTGTTCTAGTGCCCATACAATTGCAAATGCTTCTCTCTCGATTGTTGACCACCTACTCTGTGTCACATTCAACTTTCGGCTCAAGAACGCAACTGGCAGTTCTTTCCCGCCGTCGCTCTTCTGCGATAAGCATGCGGCGACCGCTTTCTCCGACGCGTCTGTCGACAAAATAAACCTCCGCGTCAACGATGGGGCTGCAAGTTTCGGCAGTTCTATCAATTTCCTCTTCACCGTTTCAAACGAGTCTTGTTCTTTTTCACCCCATAGGAGTGCATTCGGTACTTGCTTTCTCGTCAACACTGTCAGTGGAAGCACTATCTCTGAATACCCTTCAATATAATCTCGATAATAGTTAATCAATCCTAAGAGACTCCTCAACTGTTTTTTGTTCTCTGGCCGTCTTAAGTTCTGAATCGCGGCAACCCTTTCTGGGTCTGGTGCGTGAAATCCAGAGCCTATTTCATGGCCTAGGTACTTTACTCTGCCTTGTCCGAACCGACATTTCGCCAGGTTGATTGTAAGCCCGCAAGCTTCTAATGTGGCTAGCACCTTGCCAAGCTGTTCCACATGTTCTTGCCAACTGCTAGAAAAAACTGCGATGTCATCAACGTATGCGCAGGCATACATTGCATGAGGTCTTAACACCTCGTTCATTGTTCTTTGGAACGTCGCTGCTGAATTTTTAAGCCCATATGGCATTACAGTCCACGCGTACTGGCCTTGATCGGTTACGAACGCGGTACAGTGCTGAGACTTTTTTTCCATTTTGATTTGCCAGTACCCTCTGGTTAGGTCCAAGACCGAGATGAATTGGGCTTTTGCTACGCACCACAACAGTTCTTTTACGTTTTGCATTGGAAAGACGTCCGTTTCAGTTACCGAGTTTAATTGTCTATAATCTATACACAACCTAACTTTCCCGTCCTTCTTAGCGACACATACAACCGGATGTGCAAAATTGGACTCTGTTGGGTAGATCAGACCCCAACCTATCAATTGTTGTATCTGACGATCTACTTCTTCTCGAAGTTTCATGGGGACCCGGTAGGGATAGATCCTTTTCATTGTAGCATTTTCGATCAGCGTTATTTTGTGCCGTCCCACCGCGCTCCTTTCTGGCGTATTTGAAAATGCCGCTTTCCGTTCTTTTATCAAGTTGAGTACCTGTTGCCTCTGTCCCTCACTCAAGTTCGTCAGCTGGATACCCGTCTGACATACCGTGCTATCTTTTTTTTCGTCACATGGGGTCTCCTACACGCTCCCAAAGTCCCGATCTTCAAAAATCACCCCCACAGCGTTTGTTCTTGCATAGTAGGGACGCAACTTGTTTGCATGTACCCACTTCCTCTGTCCTCCCTTTAGCTCAACAACGTAGCTGTTGTCCCTTTTCCGTTCAACAATCGTTATCGGACCCACCCACCTGGCCTCCATTTTGCTTGTAGCTTCTGTGTTTAACATTAGCACCGCTTCTCCTTTTTGAAATGACTTTGGCACTGCCCTTAGGTTGTACTGTGTGGCATATGCCCGTTGCTGTCCCTGTGCTCGTTCGTCCGCTATTTTTGCTAGACTCATCATCTGCCTCCTCAGGTCCAGGAGATATTTTTCTGCGCCTTGATTTAACGTCACTGGGGGGGTCCATTCTCCCGTCCAGGATTTTCTAAGAATAGCCAGAGGACCACTAGGGACACGACCATAGATTAACTCGAATGGCGACACACCTGTCGTCTCGCTTGGTACTTCTCGGTATGCCCACAGCAGGCAGGGTACATACCTGTCCCATCCTCTCCCATGTTCAGCAATTACCTGTCTCAACATTCCCTTGAAAGTCTGGTTCCATCGTTCTACCAAACCATTACTCTCTGGATGACCCGGTGTAGAAAACCTTGGAGAAACCCCGAGCCGAGACATCAGTTCTCGTGTCAATCCGGCTGTAAAGTTGCTAGCTTGATCAGAAGAAATAACCTCTGGGGTACCCATTCGAGAAAACACTTCCAGTAAGGCATCGCAGGTTGCTTTGGCTGTGGGAGATCGCATGCATATGACTTCCGGCCACCGGGTACACACATCAACAATACAGACAGCGTATTTGTAGCCTTTAGATGAGGGGGGGTCTATGGGCCCCACGCAGTCCATTACTACCATCTGGAAAGGAACCTGTGGTCTTGTTAGTGGTTGTATCGGTACCCGATCCGTTGTCCTCTCTCTTGCTGTCAGTTGACAGCTTTCACAGGTCCTACAGTACTCCCGTATGTCCTCATCCATTCCCGGCCAATAAAACGAATTCTTTATTCTTTGTTTCGTCTTTTTGAAAGAGAAATGGCCCCCTACCGGCAAGTCATGTGCTACCTGCAACACTTGTCTGTGCCTGCCTTTTGGCAGCACTACTTGCATGACTAACTGCTTATTCATTGACTCTTTGTGGAACAGTAAGCCTTCGATCTCTGTGAAACCGTGACTACGCGCTTTAGCATATTTCTGCAACGTACGCAATGATTCATCTTCTCGTTGTTCTTTTCGAAAGCTTAGACGACTATCCTGCAATGTCTGCTCCACACTGCTATCCGTTTTGCCTGTGCTGTCGTGTGTTTCTGCTGCTCCGCTTTCTTTGTACGCCTCGCTATCAATGCAGAAGGCCCCCGCTCGCGGTGTTTCACCTTCGTCCACGTTAGATATTCCCTCCGTACTGCGTACCAGAGGTGGCTCTAAGAACTTTTCCTCTCCTCGTTCCATGTTTGCACCCAAGTAATCTCCCTCAAGCTCTTCGTACCACACTGCTTTAAGGTCCTCATAATCTGTTTGCGTTAACAGTACATTTAAACCCGACGCAAGCTCGTCTGTTAGAGCACAGAGTACCAGTTTCTGTTGCTGATTGCCAACTTTGCTTGTATCCGCCAAGCGGCATGGTATGTGAACCAACTCCGCCTCGATTTCTTGCCCAAAGGCACCTCTTAGTTTTATTTTGCCCTTTGGTTGATCTCGTCTGTCAGGTAACAACGATTTCCGGATAACTGTAATATCCGCTCCAGAATCTAGTCTGACTGGCAGTCTTTCTCCACACAGCTCTAGTTCTATTAATTTGGCTTCTTTTATAATTCCGCTGACATCTCCCTCTACCGTCTCGACCCTTGCCGCAACTTTTTTTTCGGACTCTGGGCATGATCTGGCAAGGTGGCCTAACGATCCGCACACGAAGCACTTTCTGGGTGGGAATGGACCCCGTGTTGCATTCCCTTCCAGTCTCTGTCGCTCGGCCGGCTTACTGAGCCTTTTCCCACTGTCTCCCTTTAATTTATTACTTTCATCATAGACCTGTGCCCACTTTGCTATACCAGCAGGCCGTAACCAGTCATCTCCTTCGCGAAGAGTAACAAAAGCCTGAGCGTCTTCGCTCAATATCTCCTTCACTCTGTCCGCAATTAACAACTCTTTCAAGTCATCAAAGTTCTCGACCTTTCTGCTACAAACGTAATAGTCAAGGTAGCCACGCACTCTTTCCGCCAACTGTGTCCAGGGCTCATTTTCCTTTTTCTTCGCGTTTGTGAACAGCCTTCGGTATTCATTAGGGGACAGTTGCAAAAGTTCAAGCACCTTTGTTTTTACCTCCGGATACTGCAAGAATCCGAGAGTTTCGCCGTCCCTTGCTATGTGCCTAACTCTCTCCGATAAATACGGGAGTAGTACCATTGTTTGTACATTTTTGGGAACCTTAAAGGCCTTCCACACGCTCTCGACGGTATCAAACCATCCCGGCACCATTTCCTCTTCGCTCGGTATGCGACTAAGAACGTTCGCAAGCATCTTAGAGAACTGCATAATCTCTGTCGCTAGCTCTTTTGGTTGGTCACTCTGATCTTTTTCCGTTGCCGAGGTCTGTTTCAGCCGTGCCATTTCCAACTCTAACTGTATTCGCTCTATTCTTTTTTCCTCAAGCCGTAGTTGCAGCTCGGCATGTTCTTTCATTCTCTCGTCCCCCAATGCCCCACCGACAGCCCCCTTCCCGTCTAGATCGTCGTCACTCATTTTTTGTTCTGCTTTAGCCTTTGCACGGGTTATCATCAGCCACACCCTCAATCACCACTCAATGCCTCTTACCTTCACAGACGCTCTCCAATCGGGCGGCAGGCTGCACCCCAGGCTTTCGGACACTCTGCTACCAGTTGCTCCGGCTGTGGTGGGTTCCTCAGGTGCTACTCGCGAGTACTGTTCACTGTCCTAACAAGATGCGACCCCGAGATGTCCCCTCACCAGCCCTCTTCACTTCACCACTTGCGCGTTGCTCCTCTTCATGTCGTTGTCCCCGCCCCTCCCCCTTCTTTTGATTTTGCAGTTCTTCCTTGTCTCCTGGCTGTCGCCGTTGCTCAGTCAGGCTGTGACGTTTCGTAGGCAGCCGCTCTGTTCACCTTGCAGTTCTTCCTTGTCTCCTGGCTGTCGCCGTTGCTCAGTCAGCTGTCGCCGTTGCTCAGTTTTTTTTTTTTTTTTTTTCCAGCGTAGATGCCTCGGTTGAAGTCTCCACTTTCAAGAAGGCGCTTCGGTGACGTTTCGCCGAAAGATCCCCAGCTTCCACTTTTTGCAGCATGGGCGGTTTGGTTGAAGTTTCACGGGGTTGCTTGCCGGGTTTCCACTTTCTGCGGCGTGAACCCTTCAGTTGGCGTTTCCGCGGGTGTCCTGATCCGTGGGCCGGTGGTCCGATGTGGGCATTTCGACGTATGCTTGAATGCTGCGTTTCCTCGCAATTCTTTTCCGTTTTGTCGACTGCGCCAGTGAAGACACTTGTCCAAATAGCTTCAGATGATTTATTCCTTCCCGTCGTGTCGAGATACAACCTTCCGTCACCACGCCCGGATCCAACCTACCCAAACACGCTTTTTCCCGCTCCTTATCAGCCTGTCCCATCCGCTATCAACCTCACCCTCGTGACCACTTGAGCTCGCTTCTGATAACCACTGATAGCACACCTACCAGTCATGCACACCTAAGCGTGGCATGACAGGAGGAGATCAAACCGTGGCGCCCATGGATGCGGAAAACAAATACAATGACTCAGCGCTCGGCTGACTTAAAAGCCAACGTACACTTCACGCTTTCCACTTTTGCCCACCTCCTTTTATCCTACATCCTCTCCACTTTTTACCTTGGCCCAACTTGGTTCCCTTCGCAGCTTAGGAGAGGGGAGCGCTAAGAAGTTATGCGTTGGCCTTTAACCGAATGCGGCGTCAGCGTTCGGCTAGAGTTCGTGCGCTCCGGCGAGGGAGAGGAGGGGCTCTTTTGTTACCACTCCGGCCTGCATGAACACTGCAGCATGGCAGCATACACGGTGACCGGCTCAGCACAAAAGCCCGAGAGGGTCAAGCTCGCATCCTCTGACGACTGCTTTCGGGAAAGGTCTGGCTTTTAACGTCACTTCACTAATTGTTGGTATTTTTTCATTACACTGTGCCCCGTGCTTTATTAAAAAAGATGACATGAACATTCCCACAATGCCTGTGGGCATGTGCACAGGCCTTGTGTTGGGTAAACACCGAGGTGTGGGGTTGACAAACGGGTAAGAGCGCTTCGCCAATAGTGACATCGCTGAATATCACCTCCTGCGGCGCACTTTCGACGCATCGTTTAACTACAATTCATTACGGATATGAGTGAATGGATAACAAAGAGAACCCACATAATAGCCACAGCAGTGGTCGCACCTTCTTCAAGTAGGTTGCATTTAGAAAAGCACTCAATGTTGGGGGACACTTTGTAGGCATTTTGAGAGGTCATCCAGCTTATAGTTCGTTTCCTATACTGTTTTCTGCTTGTCGATGTTCGCTTACAGACAGTGTTCGTAAGAGCAAGAAGTGACAAACTGAAAAATAAAAAAACCTTGACGTTTTGCCCTAGCGGGGTTAAATATACGAAAAACAAAACAAAAATTTCTACTTTTTGTGTGTGTGTCGACTTCTCATTTTCTTCCATTTGTTAATTTCTTTTCATTTAAGTTTTCATTGTTATCGTAAGTAGTTTCCCGCTCTCCGTTGCGCCTCACTGTGGCTATCTTTACTTCCGTAAAACGACACCTTTTGTTTGAAGATTCTTTTAGGGCAAACTCTATAGAAACAAAAGGCGCCTTTGGGAAGGCGAGGGGGGAGCCTTCATTGTACGAACTTTGGGCTGAAATATGAGTCAGAATCGGCAAAAAAGCAATGTTTTTTCTTCACGAGCTCCGTCAAAGTCACACTATCTAATCGGAGCTAGCAACAGGATTTGGTTTCTCGAAAGAATGATCACGTTTGCTCGTGCCACGCCTACGCCACTTCATACTGAAAAACTCGAAAAATGCCGCAATGTCAAAAATGTATTTAAGATAATGATTACAAGATACTCGAAATTGTAATTAAAATAGAGTATCAAATACTCTCGAACAAAGGTATTTGCAAGACACCAAGATACTTCCAAAAGTATTTAACATACAGTATCTTGAGTAGAGTATTTGAGATAGGCACAAGTCTGGCATATACCTCGTATGCTCTGGAGTACGTGCATCATTGCCTTTCATTCCCATTTCTGTTTGTAACGTATCTTTTTTCATAACTTTAGACCTGCATATGTTGTCTGTTTGATAATCATCTAATACTTCTGCGAGTGTGGTTTATTTGGCTTCGTATCTGTCTAGTGGTTCCAGATAAAGACATCGACAAGCGCAATTTTTTGGACGCTTCACTTGACCAGATCGATCGACTCACAAAGAAGCGCGGCGTAAACGTCAGATGGTGGAAGACCTCTGGGTCTCAGAGCAACAAATGAAGGTAGGTTCATTGCCGGCTTTGTTTCAATGTCCAAAGTTTACCAGCAGTTCCATACTTTATATGATAGACGCATGTTCGAAGTCACAACACTTATATGGAACGCTATGTATATTGTGCGCAATGAGTTTTTATTAATTTTTGTCTGCTATGTCTCTACTATGAAATGGGCGTTTTCTAGAAAGTGTATGATGTCTGTCCTTGTACCGCTTGAGTACGCACCCGGTTGAATCGTGCTGCCATCCACTCTGCATTTCTTCAGGCGGAAAAGACGGACTGGCCGACACTGTTCAAGGTTCAGGCGGGCAGCTCTCAAGAAAGTGGGTCCTGGAAAAGTTCCTTGGAGCCGAGTCGCCTCTATCGTCCCCCGCGTTCCGGTTCCCAAGCAGCGCTGCGATGGCATCGTCATCCAAGACTCGTTAACCTGCAGTCGAATCAGCAGGTCTGCCCTTCCAAAGCTGGACCATCGCCAACCTCAAGAAGCGGCGTGGCCCCAGACACTCGGCGACTGGCTTCCCCCAGTCCGAGCTCAATTACGTGCCTCGCCATGGACTTTCAAGGTACGGGGTTGAGTTCCCGTGGACCTCCAGTGGCGCGCTCTTCTAAGCGGTGTCAGCATCGGGCGCAGTCACTCTACACGCAGCGTCTTTGGAATAGTCCCTCACGACCATCTCTTGGCCGGGCCAGACTTCGCGTCTAGATTGAGGGTAAGTGCCGTTATCGCCTATTTGATTGCTTTTGTTAGGCCCTAAACCGCAAAAGGAAGTCTGCAACAAAATCATTGTCTCGCTTGGTGGCGGGTTTGATTTTAAATGACCACTTGTGAGAGTTTGTTTACCTTTTCAACAATTCTGTTAACCCTCTTGCATAAAAATGAGGACACGCTTTTCCCTCACAGCTTTCCCCCATCTACACTTCAGCAGAGCAGACGCCGGAGGGTAGGCAAGTCCCTCTTTGCCTCGTCTCGCCTCTTACGCGGGTTCGCTCTGGTAAAGTATGAAGAGATACATAAAAGGATGAAGCAAAGCTGGCCTTCAATTATTACTACCAACGTCTTTCGAGCCGCATGTCGTCCAAACCCCAACAAGAAAGGAGTTCTGTTTCCGTCCCGTCCTCTAGGTTTTATCCTTTTATGTATTCGTATCTATTCACCAACACGCTCGCTTTCAATTATTAAGGTGGAAAAAGTGCAGGATTCGCGTTTGGAGCTGTATTTCTTAGCCTGGAACAACGTATACCACTGCACATCGTTGCATTTCAGATGCGAGCAATGCTTCTCATGAGTTGGATAGTTCGTTTGACCATGCCGATTATTTTTTTTTAAATTTAATTTTCAGCTATTAATCACCTTGTCCCGATTTCAAAGCCCCAGCACGTCACGGCTTGCGGACGAACGGACTGGAGCCGTTATCTGCACGTCGCACCGCCGGAGGATCTTCAGGTCCATGCCCGGTGAACAGACGTCTGAAAAGACGACGCTGCTCACAACGATTAAGCGATTGTCTCCAAGATTTTTTCTTGCCGTTGTTGTCGGCATTCTAGTCGTATTTCCGGCGTTAATAAACTACGTAAATGGACTTTGTTCTCCCATTGTATGTCCCGCTTCTTGCCCTCGGCAATAATGTCTTTCGACGAATGCGCATACTTCACATCGTGGCCTTAATAAAAGTACCTTCGCATTTATTCGTTTGCTATATTAATTTAAAACACAATCGGTCCTACACATGACCTCGTCAAGAGGGGATGATTGGCTTAGCATATTGTATGTCTGCGCTTCTATTTACTGCAGGCGATGGTGATTAACTTGGAATAGAAGACCGCAGTGTTAGGTGGCGGAGAGGATCAGGTTAGAAATGTTTATTAAAATGATTGGGTTATGCCACACCTCTTGACTGAAGTCATCTGGTGTGTGGCGCAGAGGCTTGGCACGAATCTTATATCTGTGTACGTGCAATAAATGCATCACACCCGATATGGACAAAGGCCGACTTGTTTGTAAACAGTGTGTGTCGGTCTAGAGCATTTACCCCCCAATTAAGAGAAAAAAAAAAAACAACGAAATCACTGAGCCCTATTTATTACTTATGCGAAGCGTAAATTCGTCTGCTTCTTACACAGAGGGGATTGCATTGAGATTGGCTCTGATTGATAAACAATGGGAGGACCCAAGGCAGCTTGCTTCGAGGGCTACTGAGTATCCTTCACTCAGATGCAATCATAGCTCGGCGTGGGAGCGCG